GCCTCCGACAGCGCGACGCTTCGCTGCTCAACTGAACGCCACTACGTCGGGAGGTGCAGCGGGAATCTTGTGGATGGCCATCTGAGCACAAAGGACAAGTGCCCCCTCGTCTCGTCGTTTTATACTTCATCCGAGAGTGGGGGTTCAGTTCTCAGCAGGTGCTCGGATGGGAGCGTTGCGTCTCTCCCGGGGTCGCTGACTGACGAGGGCTCGTGGTGCCTGGATGCGGAATCCCTGCAGGCGAAGGCCGGCAACAGCAGTGACTATGCGAGCGTCGGCGGTGTGTGTGCGCAGGTGCAGTGCGCAGAGGGCAAGGTGAAGGTGAAGTACCTCGGCGGGAGTGGTTTTGAGCCGTGCCCCGAGGGCGGCGAAATCCAACTGACGGCGTCGGAGCACTTCAAGGACGGTGGCAAGATCAAGTGCCCCCGGTACGAGGAGGTGTGCACCGTCGCCGCCAACGGCAGCGTCCTTCCTCTGCAGATTATTGGGAGGTGATGGTCCAAACGTGTGCGATAGGTGTTCATCTTCTTCTTGCATTGCCGTTCTCGTTTTACCTGTTTCGACTCTACTTGCCTTCTTGGTGGTGCTTCTTTAACCAGCAGTGATGTGGCGGACAATGTTCTTGACAGAGAGAGCGATGAGGTTGTAGTCCATGCGGTGTGTTGTGCAAAGCGGACACAAATGACAATATGTAGCCATCGGCCGTTTTTTGTTTGGCATATGTATGTGTCCGGGAGCAGTAAACACTCGTTCACTCGCTGATGTCGTTTTGTTTTTCTTCCAGTGGTAAAAGGCCAGCTGTCTTTGATGGTTTCCTTTGTCTCTGTGATATATATATATACTCTCAACTCGTTCTGTTTCTTCTTGTCGATGATACAGTTGGGTTCTTTTCTTCAGTTGGTTTGGGACACGAGGTGAATCTCGCTGTCGTCGATGTATGTGTTTTTTGTTGTTGTTTTTTGGGAGGGGGGAGGGTGTAAGGGTTGATGAAGAGTGTGTTGTGGTAACGCGTTTTTCTTCTTTCTTGTTTTTACCATGCGGGATCGGGAGTGTGCTTGCAGTTAGTTTGAGGTGATGGGGCTGGTTACGCAATGTATTTCGGTGTCGCCTATTTTTTAATTATTATTTTTCGTGCCTTGCATTCACGGCACCGAATTGCTATTCTGGTGGAGGGGGGAGGGAGTGTGTGTTTATGGAGCGGTACGGCGTATGTGGTGTCAGCTGGCTGCCGTGCTTCTTCTGCTTGTTGGTTCATCTGCGTAGGTGGTGCAGGGTGGGCGGGGGAGACTCCCGCCGCATCACCTGTTGGATATGTGTGTGCAATGACGCTGCAACTTTGATGAGCCCTGCCTGGCCGACAAGATCGGTGTTTGTGGGCCTGCGGGGTCGTTTGGTCGTGGTCCCCTGCGTCTTTGCCAGGAGGCGGTGGTGGTGTTGGTGGCCCTTTTCTCCTGCTGCCGCGTATTCGGTGATGTGATGGGCACCCACTTTTTTTGCTTGGCGTTTCGGCGATTTTGTTGCTTTGACATGCGCGTGGGTCGTGTGGATTGGAGCTGCCCGAATCTCCGCGTTGCTACGCTATCGCCTCTCAACCTTGCGGGAGTGGTGCACCGCTGGGTGGCACCCGGTGATGGAAAATGGCTGTGTCCTGCAGGGGGCACCAGGTCTCTTTTTAAGTGTGTGAGTTTTTCATTGGTGTTATTGCGGATGTGTGTGATTGCCGCGTGCACATTGCGTTCGAACGGTGGTGGTGTGTGTCCTGCAGAATGAACGAGGGGTTCATCGGGCGCACGCAAGTTGAATTGGTTACCAACGCCTTCCATTGTACGCATAGCGTGAGGGACTATTGCCGTCACTTTGCTTTTCCGTGTTGTTGTTGTTTTGTTTTTTTTTGGGGGGTGGGGTGGGGTGGTGGGAGGAGATACTCTGGCAACGGAAACAGAAAGAACGAGCAGTTGTTAACTTCAGCGACATGGCACCAAGCAAAACCGCGACGGATCCCGGCAGACCGTTAAGTGACATCATATATGTATCAACGGAACCTTTGAACGATTCATCGCAGAATGAGAAGGACAATGAACATTTGGACGGGGACGGTGGAAGTGGCACTAATCACTCTGTGAGGGGGATTAGGAACGGAGAGGAGCCGATGCTGGCGGATCCCTCGTCGATTAGACTGGGGAAATATAATATTCCTCCCAGTGTGTCGGGGCCGGTGGGTGCATTGCTTATTGCTGTAGTTGCTCTGCTTCTTACCTTTACAACGCCGGCGGTGAATGCAAATCCGAAACCGTGGAACATCATCTCGTCGTGTATTGGCTGGGTTTACTTCTTGGCGTGGGGAGTGTCCTTCTTGCCACAGTTGTATTTCAACATGCGTCGGGGGAGTGTTGTGGGGCAAAGTTTTGAGTTTGTTTGCCTGAACATCTTGGGTTTCACGTGCTACGCGGTGTATACGCTGTGTTTCTACTCTAACGACGCCGTAAAGCACATGTACCAGGATCGCTACAATGGGTCATCTAACACCGTCGCTTTGAACGATGTTGTGTTTGCGGTCTACGCATTGGCATGCTGCCTCGTGAATGGCGTGCAGATTATCTTTTTGGACCGTGGCAGCCAGACGTTGAGCCTCATCGTGGCCGTCCTCATAGGCGTGGTATGTTTTGTCGTTATCCTGTGGGTCTGTATTATTGCGGGAGGTGTGAGGAGTACCGTCGTCTTCAACTACCTCGACCTCTTGTACGGTTTAAGCACAATTAAACTGGGTACCAGTGTTGTGAAGTACCTGCCGCAGTTGTACCTCAACTACAAACGGAAGTGCACGATTGGGTGGAACATCTGTAATGTTCTGCTCGACTTCACGGGTGGCACTCTCAGCATTTTGCAGCAGGTGATCGATAGCGCGGTAACGGGCAACTGGGTGGGCATGACAGGCAACCCCGTGAAGTTTGCACTCGGCTCCGTCAGCCTATTGTACGACATTGTTTTCTTTGTGCAGCACTTTGTGCTGTACGCCGAGAACAACAGGAGGCGTGCCTTGCCGGAACACGGCGCGGTGCAGGAAGTATTCCCACCGGCAGGCGAAGACAAGAATGAACGACCCAATGTGTGAGGGTAAGCCAATGATATGTCACGACGCCTTCTGGGTGCCTGTCAAAAGCTGCAGTGGTGGCTCACTAAAATTCGGAAATTGCACAAAGCTTTAAAGAATAGGAGTGTGTATTAACTAAGGATAAAAAGTTCAAAGAACATATAGCTAAAGGGTTGCGTGTGGCGTGGAGCAAACGCTATTCTTCTTCTTGCTGTGTGTTGTTGTTGTTGTTTTTTTGTGTGTGTATGTGTACTCTTTGACAGAGGCTTAAGAAGGCAGTTGCCGTGTGCTGGTGCGTTAGCCGACCACTTTGTGGAAATCACTGGCAGTGTAATAGCAGTCTTCCCCTCTACTTCTTCCCGTGTTGTACAAAAAAAAAGGGGGGCAGAATAACTCTTTCAATACGCACGCAAACGTGTATATATATATATATATATATCTGAGGGTGGGTGGGGCAACATCAATTTCTTTACGATCACCACATATTACTGAAGTTATAGGACACAGTTTGTGAGGAAGATGCTGGGTGTTCTCAAAATGGAAAAAGACACAGTGAAAACTTTGGTCCTTACTTCGTTTGAACACTTGTAAGTGTTCAAAAAAAAAAAATCTACACTTAAAGGGGCGTCTCGTTTTTTTTTTCTTTTTTTTTTTGTTTTTTCTTTTGATGATTGTAGAGATGTTCTAAAAGGGGGAAAAATGCCGTAATTGTGGTCTTCAGTCCCTCTCAACGCATGTGTACGTGTGCGCGGCTCCGTCACCACTTCCTTCTTTGATGTTAGATCATGTTTTTTTTTTTTTTGGGGGGGGGGGTCTTCAAGCGCTTGTAGTTTAGAAGGCAGGGCGGCATGCTGTGGGCGCTCTCCCAGCCTTTGGGGGCCAGTGGGCACACCCCTTTCGATGAGGATGCCAGTGGCGAGGCTGCTGCACAGGTGACAGGCCACCCGTTGGGGCCGCAGACAAAAAACAGCGCTGCCCTGCGGCGAGCTCATCTGAAAGGCGATGAGGGGTCACCTGCGGATATTCTAGGAGTTGCACCACGTACCACGAAGGGCTCGGCAATGCTTGCCAGTCACACATACCACCGCGGTGGACCAGTGGAACAGTCTGGACGGAGGACAGTGGGTGCATTATGGGGCACGGACTCGACGCAGCCAATGCAGGGGCGCCGCGGTCGTGGACTGTGTGCCCCAAAGTTATTGGATGGCGGCCTGCCTACACAGAAATCCACACAGGGGTGGAGCGTCGCAACTGTCAATCACCCATCCATTGAAGCCATACAGCGATACCATCAGAGTTTACCTGCGGCGTCTCGCAGTCGTGTTCGGCGCATCGCTCGTGTGCCCGTTGGTTACTACCGTGCAACGCACGCTGACGGTGGCATGACAAACCAGCCCGTAGGATTTCGCCTCCGCGTGGAAGATGGAGCCGGCAGTAATCGGAAGGAATCCTTGGCGTCGCATGGAATTTTAGATGAGGCCATGGGGTCAAGTGTTGCGTCCCTACATGGGCATTGCTTGCTGAGACATAATGAGAAACATAGCGGTCTCGTACAAACAGAGGCCCTTTCCGTGAGTGAGCGCTACGGCTTGTCTTGGTGTCCCTTACTGTCCCCGCTGATCCTGGAAGTAGACATTTGTCTGCGTCGTCAGCGCCTCGGTGGGCTTTCTGAAATATGGGCGGCAAGTCCCACCGCTATAGATATGGTCCTTGAACGTGCGGGATTCAATGCGGCACAGCGCCGTACCATCACGTGGGAGCTCCAGCGCATGATTGCCTTCTCCACCTAACACGCGGAGGGCACACAGGCCACAGCAGTCAGCACTCTAATTTACTTCTTATATCGCGCCTCTATCGTACATTGGTAAATAACATGTCATTCGGTGGACCCCCGTCCCTTCTCACAACACACCTTCCGTTAAAAGAAGGTGGTGTGACATCACGCTCTCAGTTTGTGTAGTTATATTTTTCCCCTTCTTTCTTTCTCGCCTTCGCCGTTAAACTATTGACAACAGCAGACCAGCGCGCGAGGATGCATGACCCAAATGTTTACGCAAGACAACTGGTGCTTTCAACACTGTGAGTCTTACAAGCAATCAAATGCTGTTCTGAAATCCAACAAACAACAGCCCATCTGTGCGGTGCTGCATATACTACGCGCTATGTGCCAATGTCACTACTGAGGATATCATTTGATAATGATGCGCCGAGCCCCTACTAAAGCGCAATATCTCTGACGAAACACTTGCAGTTTATCCTGACATACCTGTTTCTGCGTCCTGCATAGCCAGGAAATACCAATTTTGCAAACCCCGCGCCTTGAATCTCCATCATTAGTGACGGTGGCGAGCAGCCTGTTCACTTAACTCTCCTGAGCGTGTCTGGACTATCGCTGGTGTGTCACGAGCAGTGGAAACCACATCTTCTCCCCTGATGAGTGAAATTCTCCAGACTCACGGAACTGGGGATGCAAGAACCTTCCTTTTGACTTGCGGCTTTTTCTTGCGCCTCCCCTTCCAGATGCTGCACCCACTCTTTGGCACCTTCTCTTTTTCCCCCTTCATTTTCCTCCTCCAGCAGACAAATTCTTTGCTGCTGCTTCTATTACACTTAATCCAACCAAACTAACACACACACACACACGTTTTTCAAGCCATGCGCCGGCCACGCTGCCTTGCACCGTTTCTCCCACTGGCGCTGCTCCTGCTGCTGTTGGCGATGCACTGCGCCGGTGGGTGCCTCGCTGCCGCTCCCGCCCTGAAACACCGCTGCAACTTCGACGAAGTGATGAGGAAGAATGGCCCGCCGCCGATGGCGGCAGTGCGTGAGGTGCCTCGCAAAGGACAGAGCGCGATGCGGGCGTACACCGCTGCCACACGAGATGCGGAGAGTGACTGGAGTCCGATCCGCATCAGGGCTTTCGTTGTTGGTGTGAACGACACCAGCGTGACCTGCATGAAAGCGGGGAATGTGGTTCGGAGCTACGGTGGAAGGATGAGATGTGAAAAGACGCACCTGTTGACGGATGCGAAGATAAAGACTCTTGAAGATTCTCTTCTTCCCAGAGCCATCAAGCTGCACACCGACCG